GGACAGCCAGAAAGTTTAAAAAGTAAATAAGTCTTTTTTTTTTTTTATACAAATATATATAATTATTTTATAAATTATTTTATAATTCAATACCTATAATCCTATAGGTACTGAATTTAAAATTATTAATTAGTTTCCATTATTGCAATCACTTTATTTCATCAGGTTAATTCCCCTACTTCTTGTAATTCTAGAGTTTATTTCCTAACAATCTTCATATTGCTAGTTTGTATGAGTCCATTATAATTCAAAAACAAAATAGGTAATATGTGACTCCTTTGAAATTATACTTCATTTAAAGGAGACCTACCTATTCAAATATGCAATATTTAATCATATCAGTTACATTAATAATATTGTTGAGGGTGTCAACACTGAAATGAAATGTTCACTTTGCATTTAATAAATTAATGATTCATATCTGTATGTGAAAGAGCTCAGAAAGAGTCCTGATAACAGGAAATTGCAGTTATTGCATAATAATAAAATAATAAAATAAATAATAATAAATAATAAAAAAATAATAATAAAATTGCATTTTATTCTGTTTTTAAGAGGAGAAAGATTCTAAAATTATGAGTTGTGTTTCATTCTAATTTTTGTGAAAATGATAATTATACTCATTAATTATGTTGTTTACCACATGTAATATTATTTCATTGTAGAAAATACTTAATTACATGGTTATTAGTATCTTAACAAGTTAATATTTCAGAATGATTGTCCATGATGCTGAAACAGCTTTCAATATTAAGTCATTATTACTGTCTTAACTCCATTTCTGGTTAATACAGAATAATAACATGATACAGTATATTTGAATAGAACACAGAAATTAGCAAGTTATTTTTAGATGTCAAAAGAACTTCACAAATGCAGTTTATTTTAACACAAATTCCTCTTATAACAAGAAATTATTAGACAATAAGCAGTTGCTCTGTGAATTTTAATATGAACTGTGGAGCCAATTCAGTGTCACACCCAAGAAGAGCATTAACTCAGCAGAAGTTTTAACATATAATATATTAAAAAGCCATTGATTTATAAAACTGCTGACCGGTTACCTCACATTGATGGTGATAGATCAGCTCAAACTAACATAAGCTGTTGACCAAATACATATTTATCTCTAGTAATATTGCATTCATTTAACATGTTAGGGATTTTCTGTTGCTTTTAAGGAAATCTTAGAATTTAATGTGATCCCTTATCATGAGAGTGAAAAGGTTTACTGTTACCACTTGAAGATAAATATTATTGCAAATATTTAAATCTAAGTCAACCTCTTCAAAAGTTAGTATTTTGCAATCTAATTATAATTAGCTATATAAATTTCTCTTATCTTCATCATAAATATTTCTTAGAAAAAATTATGAAACAAAAGTAGTACAGAAATATTCATACTGGAAAGCATTGTCTGCTTTTCTTTATTAATCCTCGAAATCTCAGTAGTTAAGTATTTATTGTAACTTCTCTTTGTCTTGTCTTCTGTAATCAGTGGGAAAATGTTCCTAGTGTCTCTCGTTCTTACTTTTAGAAGCATGATAATCTGTCAGTGAGAGTGGGAAAGATAATTTTATTTACTTGTATTTTGTTTATTTACTTCTAAAAAGTAGAAAGTGATCTATGATTGCTAACTGTGAATGCATAATACTTATTTAGGTAGAGCTAGAGGATGAAACTGAGCAGCTCTTGGGCACTAAAATTGTGAAATACATAAATGTTGTGAAATGTGAATCCAGAGAAATGAAACTATTAAAAGGAATTTGGTTTTAGTTGTACAGGTTTTTTTTTTTTATGAAGAAAGACAGTTGAGGAAGTAATCAAATTGACCTTGCTACACTGTTCCCACAAACACAAGAAAAAAGATTAAAATGAAGTATTAATTTCCTTTGATATTTAACTTTAATGTTGAAAACCTAACATATTGATTTGTTAAACTTTTCCTTTAAATGATTGTTGTTTATTATGGTACACATTTTTTTCTTGTCTAGTTTATTTTATCTGATGGCCTAAACCAAATAGCAAATTTTGTTTGAAATTGTTCTTTTAAACGTTAGTGAAAGAGGGTTTTTTTGCTGAGTGTGTGTGTGTGTCAGTTGGGTTCATATTCTAATATTTTATCTACAGTACATTTCTCTCTCTTTAAAAGAGAACACAAATAGAAATATTTTAATGTGTAGAAAATGTTACTTTTACATCATTAGAAAGCTATCAGATTATGCAAATAATAAAGTATTGAAGTTGTTTAAAAATAAAAACTTCTAAAACTGCAGAGCAGCAAACAAAAGCGTAAAACCACATTTAATGTGTAGGACATTTTAGACAGTTTTAAAATGTTTTTAATAAATGTGTTAACAAAGCCTTCAAAGCCATACCAGTAAGTTTTGAATATGACTTTAAAAGTGAAATAAGTTTAAAATAAAAGCAACAAAATATAGTTATGTTTATGAAATCTAAACATGAGTTAATTTACCATTGTAAAATATTTCAGATTTGGTACGGATACTAGTATAATGCTTCCTTGAGTTTGTTTTCACTACCCTGGCAAGGAAAAACAAAATTCTGCCTCAAGCTGTATGCTCCTGCTGTTGGTTTCTTGTAATGAAAGTAACTGTGCAGACTTATTGGTTTAATTGAAATAAATTTTTATGGGTTATTTAATATATAAATGTAATTTTAATTCCGAGAATATTGTGAAAGACGTGGAAAATAAATTAATAGGAACTGAAAGTAGCATGGTCATTCTCTGTGTGTGTGTGTGTGTGTGTGTGTGTGTGTGTGTGTAACACATAATAAGATTTATGAAATCTGTTTTCAGTAGATGACTTTCAGACTTTTTAAAAAGTAAAGCTCCCTGTTAAAAAGGCACTTAACTTATTTTCATTGTGAGACATGCCAGCTAAAAGTTAATTTTAAAAAGAAGAAAGAGAGTAAAGGGAGCTTTCTATTTCACTGATTTGGGCAGAGTGACCCTTTTCCTTCAAATAAAGATTCTTAAAGTGCTCTTAAGGGTAACTGATAATGCACTCCCGGGCATCCAAAAGGACAGGGAGTCTATTTTCCTCTGTTTTTGTCTAATTTCTGATGAGTAAAGAGATGCTGTCAAGGGATAAAATAGCTCCTTACTTTCAGGATTTTTTTTTTTTTCCAGGATGTTTTTTAAAACATGATTACTCGAACTTATGAAGGCTTAAATATTTGTGTTATTTTGTGTGTTAGCTGATCTGCATAGTGTTAAATATTTTCTCCTCTATGTAACCAACTAATATAATCATACCTGTTTTCTAATTTAAGTGTATGTATGTGTATCTCTATAGTAGAAAAATAACATAAGTTTAAAATAATGGCACTATCATAGTCACTTGCTTTAAATAAATGCAAAATTCTAAAGCCTTGAAATTAACATAAAGGGAGATAGGACAGCAGACCTTTCCAATTCAGTGCTTTGTTGATCTTGTCTACACCATTTTACGCAAAAAAATGAGTTTTTTGTAACTTTGTATATTGAGGATTGAATAAATTCTGTGGTAGAAAAATGTTCCTATATTAATCTGACTTGGAAGATAGGTTTATAAAAACTTTTGTGGTTTTTAAAATAAAATTTGTATAGTTTTTGTTTTCTTTATTTTACTCTTTCTTCACAGGTGAATACCATCTTTCACTAAAGTAGATTTGCTATGACGATATCAAGAGTTGTAAAGAAAGACATTTTCCTGAATTTATATTTTTAACACTTGGGCTATAGTAATTAAAATTTTATAACTAATTTATAATCTAATAGTATTGTTTGGTATATTTAAAACTCAAAACATTACTATTAATTATGGCCAGTTTTGTGCATTTATGAATTACAAATTTAGTAATTTGTGAATTATGTAAGTTATTCAAAACAAATGGAAGTATAACTTGTTTTAAATGTTAATAGGAAAACTGATTTCATTATATGTCCCTCAACAGTTTTTAAATCAATAAAATCATTATTTCACACTTAATGCAATAAATGTTAATTTAAGAAAAAATTAAACCTTCAGTTAGAAATTTTTTAAGAAATGCAAAGAACTTTTTCCTGTGGTATTCAGTTGTTTAAAAATATTAAATCTGAAACAATTTATTTGCTGAAATAGTAAGCCTAATCTGAATATCCCAGGATTACTGAAAGGCTTGAGCCTTTTCAGTAAAGAATCTGCTCTACTTGCATCCCAGGATTACTGAAAGGCTTGAGCCTTTTCAGTAAAATGTTTGTGAAAACTATTTTTATTTCTAGCACAAACTTTGCAGTGTAGGACATTATTTGTTTTGGGGGTAATGAATGCGAAGTTACGGCCACATAACTTTTTTTCCATCTTCTGGCTAGTGATCAGTAGGGGTGTCTTCATTTTCTGTCTTGGAAAATTCTTTGATTTCCTACCCTGATATTAATCAGGGAGTAAGTCTTGTGAATTATTAAAGGAACGAGAAAGAGGTAAGTAGTAAACTAGCATTTCCAAAAAAATGGGTTGGTTTATGGCTGGTTTATAACATTTTGTTCATCTCTAAGATAATCCAAAGAGAACCAAAAAAATGCAGTAACAGTGTTTTGGCTTATTCTTGAAATGTATTATAAGTTTATCTTTAAGGTTGTGTAGTTAATATTTTATCAAGATTTTATTCACATGTTTTTCAGTGTAACCTGCTGTAATTTTTTTTAATATCATCTTATTAAATGAATCACTGCTTTCAGATTATTAGACATTTAATATTATAAACTGTAAAGAGCCATCTTTCCTTCTTCCTTCTACTTTTCATTAATTTTTTTTTAGTTAATTTTTATTGGAGTAAATTACACAGTTGTGTTAGGTTCTACTGCTCAGGAAAATGAATCAACCATACATATGCATATATAACCTTCTTTTGGAGGAATTGGGAGTTTGGGATTGACACATATACATTATTGATACTGTGTATAAAATAGGCAACTGAGGGGATCATTAATGTTTTTATATCCTCCTTTTATACAGGATTTCGCCTCCCGGGCTAAACTGGCAGTTCAAAATCTAGTACAGAAGGTTGGATTTTTTGGAATTTTGGCCTGTGCTTCAGTAAGTAAATTGTATTTAAACGGTGAATTTATATTTTGATTCAATTTGTTTTTAAAGATATATGAATTTTTAAAAAGTTATCACTTTTAATGAATGTAATTTTAGTAATCATTCATCTTACTCATCAAATGAGCTGTTTTCTGTTGGTTTAGGTTTCTGTCTTATTTACTGACTTGTAAGCATTTCCTCCTGCCATGATGACTTCAAACCTAAATGGCTTGATTATATAAGAAAAAAGAGACAAAATCCATCCTTCCTATAAAGAATATATAGTGAAGTGCATTTAAGCAAATAACAATGACTTCATTCTTTTCAGAGTTATAGATAGGTACTTCTTTTCCAAAGCCTCGGGCATATAGTTATAAGGAAAAATTCATATAAAACCTCCTTAAGTGACTGTAATACCTAGCTTGGTAGTTGAAACATCTGTGGCAAGATTAAGGGCATCTATGGCTACAGTGAACTAAGAAACTGTTTGTGTCAAACTATTTGTGTCTCACACAGGAAACTTTAAAAAAAAAAACTTAATGTCTCAAATTGCAAATTTGTGAAATTGACAATCCTTGGTGAGTTGATGTTTATCCTGGTCCTTTTCTAATTTAATAGAAACAGTTATATTTGAAATGAAGCATTTTGATCTAAGTTTTCTTTGGTAGTTTGTACAAAATTCTTGATAGTTCAGTGGTAGATTTGGCCAGAATAACTAGATGCATCTAGTTAATATGATGAAAGTTGCTATTATCAGTAAATTCAGAAGATTATTATCTGCTGGTACATAGTTTCCTTATCCATTATGTATTAGGATATGAATATATCTGAGTACACTCTTTCCCACCCTAGCAAAGTAAATACCCGTAAAGGGAAGACATTTGGTGCCAAAATTTAAAGGAAATCAACCCTGAATATTCATCTGAAGGACTGTTGCTGAAACTCCAATACTTTGGCCACCTGATGCGAAGAGCCAAGTCACTGGAAAAGACCCTGATGCTGGGAAAGCTTGAAGGCAAAAGGAGAAGGGAGCGGCAGAGGATTAGATGGTTAGATAGCATCACTTACTCAATGGACATGAATTCGAGCAAACTCCAGGAGATAGTGGAGGACAGCACAAAGGAGCTTGGCACACTACATCTGTGGGGTTGCAAAGTGTCAGGCATGATAGCAACTGAAGAACAGCAACAACCAATCGACATTCTAGAGATATTCTAAAATATCCATGTGCCTCTGTTACTACCTTTTAATCCTGGCAGTACTTGAAATTTTCATCATCTAACTTCTCTTTTTATTGGAGAAGCTCTTTATCATAACATTGACAAATATCTGAGCAATGTATGGGTATGTTGTAGTGTGATGTAGTGAGATGAGAACTGGTTTTGGAGTCAGGCTTGCTTAGGTTCCTAAACCAGATTTTCCTCTTAGCTATGTAATTTCAGTCAATTTACTCTCTTTGAGCCCTAGTTTTCTAATTTTGGGACTTCCCTGATAGCTTAGTTGGTAAAGAATCCACCTGCAATGCAGGAGACCCCAGTTCGATTCCTGGGTTGGGAAGATCCCCTGGAGAAGGGAGAGGCTACCCACTCCAGTATTCTTGGGCTTCCCTTGCGGCTCAGCTGATAAAGAATCCACCTGTGATGTGGGAGACCTGGGCTCAATCCCAGCGGATCTTCCCCTGAGTTGGGAATATCCCCTGGAGAAGGGAAAGGCTACTCACTCCAGTGTTGTGACCTGAAGAATTCCATGGGCTGTATAGTCCATGGGGTTGCAAAGAGTCAGTGACTAAGTGACTAAGTGACTTTCACATTTCTAATTTTTAAAACAGGGCATCGAGACACTCATTACTTATATGAGGATTTTGTCAGTTCAATCGCTCAGTCGTGTCCGACTCTTTGCAGCCCCGTGAGGATTTAAGATAATACATGAACTGTCACAGTGCCCATCCATTTTTTACTGTTATTCATCAGCTTTGTATCAACCCCTGAGTGCTTGGACAAAGAAGTGAAAGCTGTATTTCCTTTTCTAAAGGATCCTGAAATCTAGTAAGGGAGACGGTGCTAAGTGAAAGGTATTGTGGAAGCCCAGCAGTATAGGATTAAACTGAGAGGCCTAGATGGTGATGATGTCCTTAGTTTAGAAGCTGAGAGAGTAGTGCGGGAGTCGTGTTGCTTGGGTTGAGAGCCTGCTGTGCCGCCACTGATACTGAACACGTTGCTTGACCTGTCTGTCTCACTTTCTTATCTATAAAATGGATGTCATATCATATAACATTGTTTTGGAGATTGAGTTGATGTAAAAATCCTAGAAAAGCACATAACAATTCAGTAAGAGTTAGCTTTCATCATTCAAGTACCTTCAATTTATTGAAGCAAAAAATATTTATTCTTTGGCATTCATCTATACCTGTGTCTTCCCTGCTAAAATTCAACTTTCTATGCTAGCCAATCATCTTTATTTTTGACTAGGAATAGTCAATTTTTAACATAAATTAATAGATCACTTTGACCCTCTAGGAGCTTTTTACTAGGAAATTAATATATATATATTAAAGTATTAAAAGTATATATACTTGATTTAAGGTAAGGTAAGTAAAGGGTAAGGTAAGGAGAAGTTTATTAATTAGTAATTTTGTTGTTAACATTTAAACTAAGATAAACAAAGCTAGCTGAGGGAAAATCTCAAAGCTACATAATAGTTCTTTTTATTCTAATCTTCCTTTCTGTGTATTAGGTTAACAATTGAAAAAAAGTAAATAACATGCCTTTGTAACAACATTGATTATTCTCTTCTGAGAGTATCCAACATACAACTTCTAATTTTTATCCACTCTGATTTGCATATCTTGTACACTTTAATTTCCATCTCAGTATGAGGTAGAGCCTGATAATAAAGGGGATCTATTAAAATTTTAATTCATAGAGTTATGAGAGTCATATGAGGAAATAAAAGAAATGACAGTTGTAAGGATGTGGAAGTGATACAGTTATTCAATGGTTGTAAGACATGAAATTACAGAAAGCATTTAAATTTGGATAAGAAAAATTGTATTATTGAATTTGAGTATTTTTTAACAAAAGAATACTTGAATTCTGATTTAGTTATGGCATTGTTTTTAAAAGAACATACGTAACAAATATCTTTTAAGCAACTGGGCTTTTCTTTGAAAGTACAGACTTGAAATTATATAAATTAATTAGCTTATAAGTGGTTCCACCAACATAGACACAAGGACAAGAGTACTTCTTTGGGAGAAGAATGGATGAAGTGCTCAAAAACAGCTTGTGGTTTCTTTGCATTTTTGCATGAAATTGTCTTTTAGCATTCTTGAAATGTGGGAATGTTCAGGAAAGGTATTTGTTGTGAATCACTTCTTTGTCTGGGACTGAGTATTCACAACATCTGTATCTGTGCTCTTGTATTTCCACACTTGATTTTTCCCTAGAATAAATCACATGGCCCTGTGGCCTTGGGCTGTCATAAAGTAAAATACAAAAAGTTAATTTTTTATGTTGAAAAATGAAAAGCACATCCACCTGTAAATGTATTTGTGAATTTACAAGAATGTTTTCTATAGATGTGAGCACTTTCCAGATAATCTTATTTCAAGCCAAAGATTCTAGGACCCTAATAACTACAGAAATAATCTTGAGGCTTTTTCTTTATTTATACTTCACTGCTGTCCAGTGGTCAAGTATCTACTGAACGGGATTAAATTCCAGACAGTCTAGCACTGATCAGGGAATCCATACCTCTCTTTGAAGTGGTGGACAAGGATTAATGCATAATTCCACACACCTATAGGTTGTAAAATTAAACTGCTTTTTGGATTATATATGGACGTTTCATTTTATTTTTTCTCTTTTGAATAGATTCCAAATCCTTTGTTTGATCTGGCTGGAATAACATGTGGACACTTTCTTGTACCTTTTTGGACTTTCTTTGGTGCAACCCTGATTGGAAAAGCAATAATTAAGATGCATATCCAGGTAATTATACCTTTCGACTCCCTGCTCAGTGATGATGAGCCCATTAAAAGGCACTGAAAACATATTCCCCTTGCTCTTGCCAAGACAAACTGTTCGGATTTTGAGTTCTGCTTCTTGGTGGGTCGCTATTCAGACCCAGAACGTCACTGAAGATTACTGGACTGAGGGCGGTTTTACCCTTCTTCTGTTGGAAAATTACGCTCCTTGTTCCTCCTTGTTTCCTTTCCTTCTTTCTTCCTCTGTCCCTTCCTTTCTCTTTATTTCACTTTTGCCTTCTGAAACTTTTAATTTAAGACTTTTACCAAACAAAAACTGTTCTTGAGCTGAGGAAGTATTCTCTTTCATTAATTCTACTTTTCTTTCACATATTCTATATATAACACTTCCTCTCAAGGCACTAATATCCTTTACAAAATACCAGCCAGGTGTTAGTGTGGAGAATGGAGAAGAAAGTGGGCCCTGAGGAGGCAAAGAGATGTGGGTTTTGGTTAGAGAAGTGAGAATCTGCTAGTCTCAAAGCCACTCTTAACGTAATCTTTAGGATAAGGGTGTGGGTGTGTGGGGTGGGGGTGGTGTGGGTGTGTGTGTACAAGAGCAGAGAAAAGAGACCAAGGACTTAAATGAGAGGAAATGAATATGTGCTTCTGAGACTTTGATATGAATTGATAGGAGTAGTATAAAAGGCAAATCCTACTGGAATAAAATAGAGTTAACATTGAAAAGAATGTCTTAATTAATGAGGCTTGCAAGGAAGCATTCACCAGGGGAAAGGCAAGAACAGTGAGTAATGTCTTCAACTCGGGCCTGATTCCATAATAATTGAAAGGACTTCTATCCCCCAAGTTTCAACTCACCACCTCTCTACCTCCAGTTCTTAGAAGAGAAGAATGAAAAGGAAGACTTGAGGGACTTCACTAGTGGTCCAGTGGTTAAGAATCCACCTGGCCATGCAGGGGGAGCAGGTTCAATCCCTGGTCGGGGAGCAAGTAAGCCCACACACCTGCAACTAGAGAGTTTGTGCACCATGATGAAGATCCCATCTGCCACAGCTAAGACCTGAGGCAGCCAAATAGACAAAGTATTATTTTTTTTTTCTTTTTAAAAAAAAGGAAAGCTTGAGCTGCTTCTGCCTGCCCATTTTCTAATACTAGATTTTGGTGTTTAGGGTGAGCTTATTGAGCTTGTCTTCTAATCCTGCTATGATATTCACTTAAAATTTCAAGACTTTATTTTTCCTCCTTCAAGGAATGTAGTTTCTCCTACTTAAGTAAGTGTGTTGTTCAAGACGATGGGTTTTTAAATACTGGAATGCTAGTTATTTGGTAAAGATTTAAAATACTATAATAGGATTTTTCTAATAATAAAGTCATTTAGCTTTTTGAAGTCCTTTGAGAGTGTTAATACTTAAGGAATGATAACAGATTCTTTTCATTCCCTTTATAATAGCATCTTCTCTAGGAATCCATAAACTTTATATATTCTGCTTTATGAATTATACTAACTTTCTATAAAATACAGTAAAATATATTATGCTAAAAGTACCCTATAGTTACAGAGTGTTTAACATTCTCAGTTTTTTTTCAAGTTATGATAATAATGCTTAATTTTTTAATATAGTGCTTCACACTTTAAAGTACTTAATGTATGCCATCTGATTTAATTCTTACAATTCTGGGATAGAGAAATTACTACTCCTATTTTGTAATTATCAAACTTAGAGAAGGAAGTAGGTAATGGTTGCCTAAAAGAGTAACCGCTGGAATTGAACCTGAGTCTTTCGGCTTCAACTTCATTGTTCTTTCCATTCTTTTGCTTTGCCTTAACTGTAATTTATTTATATGATCACAAAAACTGAAATGTTTAAGGCCTGTTATTTTGTCAGGACCTGTGCCAAGCAGTTTGCATTGGTTATCTCAGAACAATCCTGTGATGTGGTTATTATCCACATTTCATAGATAGGAGGGCTTAGAATTCAAACCAAACTCTAAAGTCAAAGCTCATTCATTCCCTGTATCTATGAGGAAGCAAAGAAAGAATGCTAAAATCCCATCTGTGTTTCTGAAAGGAAAAAAATCTGAGTTCCTTCACTAAACTGAGACCACGGGATACATTTGTTGTATTCCGTTGTATCAGAGAGACATACTTTCTAAAGGCATGTCACTTGATGTGCATCCAGATATAGCTCAGGGCCACAAACTTTTCTCATTCCTTGGGTAAGCAGTATTAGTGAGTAATATAAACATTATAAGTATTTCTAAAACAATAGGGCAGACACACTACACACAGACTTTTCTGTAATTCTGATAGTAAACTCTTCTGGTCCTCTTCTCTTTTTTCCTCAGTTTAAACTAGACAACTTCCCCTGATATATATTGTTAATTTTATTTATATCTTGTTATCTGTTAAACATCCCCTAAAAGAAATCAACCCACCTGATAATGTTAATTAAGGATTTCTCTTTCTACTGGACACGTTCAATTCTTATACCTGTATACAATACCTTAGAAATATTTCTGTTCTCCTAAATGATGAAGAAGTCAACATGCTCATATAATATTTCATGTACCATAAAATTTACTTAGCATGTGTATTATTTATTGCCTCTCAACTTTCTCCCTACCACCACATGCACACATACTGAAATATAAGCTCTGTGAGGACAGTTTTTTGTTTCTTGGCTCTCCAAGGTATTCTAGTGCCTCGAATAGCATCTGGCATGTAGTTAGCACTCAGTAAATATTTAATATATGATTCAGCCTATGATTCTTCTTTCCAAAATCTGGAGGAATCTTCTTTTGCAGATGTATAGTTTCTTCTTTGTTCTGTTGGTGCCATTAGTTCCCTACACTCATATCTTTTTTTTGCTTTTATACTCTATCCTTATTTTCTTTGTACCTATGGTTGAGTGGGCTCTTTGGGGATCTGTGCCTTTTTTTTTATTTGGTAGAATCCCCATTCAGACCTCAAGCATGAATGTGATTCTGAGACATATGTTCTTAAGTGTCTAGCCCAGCACAGTGAATTTTCAAACTGTTATATATAAAAAGAAAGTCTTTGTTTTGTTTTCAAGAAATGAAATTGTGCAATTATCCTGGCATTGGCTTATTTTGAATGTTAGGAAATGATGGTAGGGAAAACACGTGGTGTAATCACTGAGAGCAAATCATTAGCTCTGTTTTTTAGTAAAAGATCTATAGCTCTAAGTAACTGGCTTTTAGTATGGATACTTAGAAGAGTCCCATATATTAATGCTTTTCTCACTAAATGATCTACAGTAATTGTCTAATTAGCTTCATAATCTTCATACACCATTTGTATAGGATTGTTTATAAATCACCATCCATCTTGTAACTGTTGGATATCTATACATGCTTACTTTTTTCATAAGATAAGAAATATCTTTTTCACATTAATAGATACCTAAGTGAAGTGAAAGTTGCTCAGTTGTGTCTGACTTTTTGCGACCCCTGGACTATACATTCCATGGAATTCTCCAGGCCAGAACACTGGAGTGGGTAGCTGTTCTCTTCTCAAGGGATCTTCCTAACCCAGGGATCAGACCCAGGTCTCCTACATTGCAGGAGGATTCTTTACCAGCTGAGCCAGCAGGGAAGCCCAGTAGATGCCTAAACAAATACCAGAAAGGACTGTGAGCTTATTCTTCTGGTCTTGTTTCTTTCCCACATATCAGCTGTGCAGGGTCAGTGTCTTTGTTAACCCTCAGACATTGATTAAGAAAATATCATTGCCTGATTGATCTTCTACCTGAAGTAATAAGCTTCAGTCTGAATTAACCACTTTCCTGAGATGCTCAGTGGATGGCTTACATGATGTTATTTATTTTTATTTCACTTCCCTCCCATTTAATTATATAGGCTATAGTTATTATTTAATACACAGTAACAAAGCAGTGGAGTTAGTTTTTAGGAATTAGAAGAATTTAGAATTACTCATTTTTATTCAGAGAATTGGACTTCCCTGGTGACTCAGTGGTAGAGAACCCACCTGCCAATGCAGGAGATGCCGGGTTTGACCTCTGGCTCAGGAAGACCCCCTGGAGAAGGAAATGGCAACCTACTCTAATAGTCCCACCTGGGAAATCCCATGGACAGAGGAGCCTGGCGGGCTACAGTTCATGGGGTAGCAGAAGAGTCAGACATCACTTAGCAACTAAACCTCAACAACAACAATTCAGAGAATTATTATAAGTCCTTTAAAGCTAAGTTTTAATATCATTTTCTAGAATCTCAAATTAGTTGTACTTATGTGACCTTTTCTTTCTTTCTGTGAACTTCTGNTTTCATCTTGTTTATGGTTTCCTTTGCTGTGCAAGAGCTTTTTAAGTTTAATTAGGTCCCATTTGTTTAATTTTGTTTTCATTACCCTAGGAGGTCAAGAAGGACCTTGCTGCCATTTATGTCAGAGTGTTCTGCCTGTTTTCCTCTAAGAGTTTTAGTATCTGGCCTTACATTTAGATCTTTAATCCACTTTTAGTTTACTTTTTGTATGGTGTTAGGAAGTGTTCTAATTTCATCCTTTTACCTGTAGATGTCCAGTCTTCCCAGCACCGTTTATTAAAGAAACTTTGTTCTCCATTGTATATTCTAAGGACAAGGTGACCTTGGTGTGTGAGGTTAATCTCTGGTCTTTCTGTCCTCTTCCACTGATCTGTATTTTTGTTTTTGTCGCAGTACCATACCGTCTTGATTACTGTTTCTTTGCAGTGTAGTCTGAAGTCAGGGAGCTTGATTTCTCTAGCTTTGTATTCTTTCTCAAGATTGCTTTGGCTATTCAAGTTCTTTTGTAAAAACTTTCCGTAAAGGATATGGAAGATCCTCTGGATTAGATTTAGCCCAGACACCTGTCGTCAAACTGATCAACTTTAATTTCAGTGATGGAGGCCATATGGGAACCCATGACTTCAGTTGTATACACCATTCTAAAACACATAGAACATGTGGATCATGCACCCAGCCTTGGGTTTCATGACTCATATTTTTCCCTCAGACATGGTCATGTATCCTGGCAAGATGAGAACTGTGCTTAAGGAAAAACATCTTTAAAATACAAAGTAGGTCACATTTAAGAGCTTTTTAAATTGCAGTTAGCAGCAGCATGGTTACCTTTTTAGACTGTTACCAGAATTGTGAGTTTATATTGGTTTTTTTGATGATAAGAGATATATTTATTTTAACTGGCATTTTCTTTACAGAAAATCTTCGTTATCGTAACATTCAGCAAACACATAGTGGAGCAGATGGTGGCTTTCATTGGGTGAGTAATTCTTTATGAACTAATAATATCATCATGGTTTGAATGAGAGGAGAGGTATAAAAAAGAATTATTGGTATAGAATTTTTGTGGTAGCTCTTTATTTTTTGAGTAGGAAAAATCTTTTGCCCCATTATTAGTTAAATTGAAGATAAACCTCTTACAGTAGGAAATGATGAAGCTCAGACTATCCTTGTTTAATTCTGAGCCAAACATGTATCAAGTCATATAATTCTTGATTTAAAAGAAGCTTTGCTGTTTGAGACTTGCCTCTCCAAAGAAATATGAAATTCTCTTTAGTACAAGACATGTGTATATCATTAAGACTTTAACGGTGCTTTGGGACAATGCTATGACTTTCAGCCAAAATTGGATGCCAGATACACAGTTGTATTTCATTTGTATATAATCTTACATAAAATATTAATATTTCATTAAGTAAGGCTTGATAAGATATCAAAATATGTGTTATGAATCTATTACTTCATTAGAGAAAAATTAGGCTGTTTTAAAAGGCTATCTGAAGCTTTTATTTGTATGTCTAAATGAGTAACAACAGTTTTAACATATGCTTTAAATGACAGTGTCACAAATTTTTGGAATTTACTTTGATAAAACGGTATGGAAAGGACTGTTTGGTTAATCAAATTAATGTCAACTTGAATGTGAATCCTGCCAGATAGTAAATGAGTCCTTTTTTTTCAATATATGATTTTTTTTTTAATTCAGTGTGTGTGAGTTTTCTTTTCATTTAATAGCATAAATGTCCTATGCTGGTGGGTTAGTGGGTAAGTGTTAAATTGTGTTTAAAAAGTGTCAAATTGAAGTGCTCTTTATGTAGTTTAATACAAAACTTTATCCTGAAACCTTTTATTAAAAAAAAACTTTATGAGAAATTTTGCTATTGAAAAATTGCCACTTGATAGTGAGTTCATGAATAATAGTTTTATTTTTCTTTGGACCATTCATTGTATATTATTTACTCTTTTCTGTGTATGGTATGTTCTATGATAAAACAGTTCTTAAAATTTTCTACTTAAGTATTAATATAGCAATTGAGGAAAAACATATTCTTGAGAATATACTCAGTAGAGTCAACCATTGATTTTATTACTTCCTACACTTCTGATTAGAAATATAGATTATGTTTTGTAAATTAAATTTTATTTACTCCAGTTTTTTGTTGCCTGAATTCTTACTTATAAAGTGGTTTTTAAATCACATTATGTCTCATTCAAAAAGAAAGAAGGAATATTCTTGTCCCTTTTTTGAAATATGAAGATGACATTTCATCCTTTCCTAGAGATTATTGTGCCACCTTGAGAGAATTCTGAACATACAGGACTACCACGCAAACTCACACATCGTAGGAACGACTGTGCATGCAGCACAAGACATTCTTTCTTTCTCCTCTTTTCATCCTGAACATGTAGAGAAGGAAGTTTTCCAGCTACTTCTACATCCTCACCACTAGTACCTTCTGTTTCCCCACCCTTTAGAGTTTCTAAGAAGTTACATTAGCTAGCTACCTGTCTCAAACACGCATAGCCAGTTTCATTTCCTTCCGATCTATCTGTCATACTGCGGTTAGTAACCTTTTAGAAATCGCGTCTGACCTCGTCACCACCACGGTCTTCACTCCCTGGTTCTTCCTTTTCTTGAAAGCCTTCGTTTGTTTTCCCCTTCATTTTTTTCAAAAAAATGTTTAATTGAAGGATAGTTGATTTACATTGTTGTGCTGATCTCTTCTGTACAGAAGAATGACTCAGTTATACACATATATATGCATTCTTTTTTAATATTTTCCAGCATGGTTTATCACAGGATATTCATATGGTTCCTCTGTGCTAGGCGGTAGGATCTTGTTTTCCCCCTTCATTCTTACGGTAAAGCTAAAACTCCTTACCATGGTCTCTGTGGCCCTGAATGATCTGTCCCCTGTAGTTTTCTCTGCTTGCGTCTCCCGTGACTGGTCTTTGCTCGTGTTTTTCCCTTTGCCATGTTCAGGGTTTCTCAACCTTGACACTATTGACGTGTTAGGCCAGATACTTTTTTGTTGCTAGGGACTGCCCTGTGCGTTGTAAGATGTTTAGCTGCATCCTTGTCCTCTACTCACTAGATGCCTCTAGTATCTCCCAGTTGTGACAATCAAAACTATCCCCAAACATTGTCACATGTTCCCTGACAAGTAGTAAACTTCCACTGTCACCACCAGTCCCACTGAGAACTACTCGCCTAGATAATATCCTTTAGATTTCAGCTATTATGTTCACAAACGCATCTTCCTTGGCTGGGTCACAATTACCCTTTTCTCTAGGAACCCCTTTTCTCAGCAGTATGTAGCGCATGCACTGACAGTTGCATTTTTACGTTCATGTTTGAAGGGTGTATGATTACTGTCCTTTTGCAACTAACCTGGAAGCTTCTTAATGGCAGAGGCCATGCTTATTTTTGTCTGCTGTTGTGTCCACAGCACCTGGCATCTTGATTGACACATAGCAGGTTCTTGATAAATATCTGGTGAATAAATGAACACATGGTGTACAAATAAAGATCTGGCCAATAGGAATTAGCGAATGATTTGTGTAGCCCAGATTCTTATGTTTCCCCAGCCTTTGGAGTTTCTAAGAGGTTACATTAGTTATCTGTAATAAATAGCAATATGAGATTTCCCTGGGGATCCAGTGGTTAAGACTGTACTTCCAATGCAGGGGGCACAGATTTGATCCCTGGTCAGGGAACTAAGATCCCATTAAGTGTGGTCAAAAAATAAAATTACAGTAAGTACCCATAAAAGTGTTTTTAAGCTAGACCAATATACTCAAGTAAGAATTTCTTATTCCTTATATTTTTCAAAATCAATAGTCCCTTCCCTTGACTATCTCCTCTAGCACAGCCCCTAAAAAATAATAATAATTACAGTGATTCCTCCTAAAGATGATTTGCATAAAGTTATTCTGAGATATTCAAGGCCTACTGGAATGGGTGGTAGTTTGGTTTGGTTTTGCATGTATCATATTTTAAAAGCTATTTGCAGGACACTTGTTGGAATTTCCTGATATCATCATTTCCCGCCTAGCACTGTCTGTAGGGATTATCCATCAACTTGTTTTCCAGATAAAATATTAAACAGTATAAACAATTAGACCTAGCAGTATAATAATTCTTTATTACCAGATGTCAATGGCTATCTTTATGATCTTTGTAATAACTTCTATCTTTTAATCAAATTCTCCAGTTAAGGTTGACATGGTTTGTTTTCCTACATTTTGAAGTAGGAAATGCTATACAAGGATTCAGGTGATAATTAATAAATAATATCCTCAAGCCTAGAATGAAAATTAACTTAAACCAGGAGAATGAATTTTTAGTAGACCTAAGTCTCTTATTTTATATAATAATAAATAGCTTAGCAGTTTATTTCAGAAAAGGAAAGGAGACAATTAAATAAATTAATTTAAAAAACAAAAGGAAAGGAGAACAGTCAAATTGATTCCATAGACTCATTGAACTAAACTGAAAATACTGCATGTAATTTGCCATAGAAATATTCTCCTTTCTTAGTTCTCCCTCTTCACACTGTTAATACTATAAATGTGTGTGTGTGTGTATGTGTGTATGGTAAATCATCAAACTAAACTAGTGAAGTTTGGAATATAGCACTTTGAAGGATATTTAAAACTTCAGTTCAATTCAGTCCCTCAATTGTGTGTGACTCTCTGCAACCCCATAGACTGCAGCACGCAGGCCTCCCTGTCGATCGCCAACTTCCAGATTTAGTCAAACTCATGTCCATTGAGTCGGTGATGGCATCCAACCATCTCATCCTTTGTTGTCCCCTTCTCCTCCTGCCTGCAGTCTTTCCCAGCATCAGTCTTTTCAAATGAGTCTGTTCTTTATATCAGGTGGCCAAAGTATTGGAGTTTCAGCTTCAACATCAGTCCTTCCAGTGAACATTCAGGACTGATTTCCTTTAGGATGGATGGGTTGGACCTCCTTGCAGTCAGTCCAAGGGACTCTCGAGGGTCTTCTACAACATAACAGTTCAAAAGCATCAGTTCTTCGGTGCTTAGCTTTCTTTATAGTCCAACTCTCACATCCATACATGACTACTGGAAAAACCACAACTTTGACTAGACGGACCTTTGTTGGCAAAGTAATGTCTCTGCTTTTTAAT